CCGTAAACGTCACATCTCTCAGATAGATACCGGTCTAAATAACGAATTTTATCTCGTTTTAACGAGATAACTAACGCGTTATAACGAGATAACTAACGCGTTTTAACGAGATAATTAACGCGTTTTAACGAGATAACTAACGCGTTATAACGAGATAATTAACGCGTTTTAACGAGAAAAAAAGTTTTTTTGTTTGTTTTTCAAAGTGACACTAATAGGCTTTCGTAGATATCACAGGATTTATGTTGGCTAAATTCCTATCAATAGCTACAGGCATTCTCCCTATGTATGGGAGATCTGGTTTTGTTTTAAATAGGAATAGAATAATGTATTACTGTGCTACCACCAAGGCGTATAATGCTGAAGTCTTAATTTGGTTTTATCTGTTAAACGCCATATCAACAGCAATATCATTTAAGGAAGGCCTCCCTGTGTATGTCAGTTGAAGTTTTGGAAGAGTTTTGGGAGGCTTTGATATGTTCCTGTAACGTGCTACTATACCGAAATTCCCAAGCAGGACTATCCACTCCGTCACATGAAATTGGCGACGGACAAACCAATATTTAAAATAATCTGGTATGTTATGGTCAGAGGACAGATCCCAAAGCCTTCCTCACAGGGGCGATCCCTCAACGAATGGCAAAAAACGGCGACAGTCTCACTGGAGGAAACGTATTTTAAAAAGAATAAAAAAAGAGTCCAAATTAAGTCACCTGTTACGACCTGATAATAGGGACAACAGTTACAATTCTTATACCCTTCCTGTATAGCAATCAGGATACACGAATTACGGTATAGGGTCATTTTAGGGAACGGAGGAGACAATCTCATCTAAGTCAAACTTCACATTTCACTGAGTAGTACATACACCTATTAGAACGAAGGTCTAACGGAGTCACATTTGAATTGGTATTATGATAGTATTTGTCGTATATTTAATAGCCAATCAGAAATTCGATGCCGTTTTTCGGGTGATAAAGCTAGGTATTTTTGGTAAGTAATTACATAGACGTCCACATGTATGTAAAATCTTTTCGGACTTGGCTCGGTCACTTAATCGGCTTTAAATTTCGTTTAAATATTAATTAACTTATACCTGGTACAGATGATTATAAAATAACAATTGATCAGTTGGTTGTAACTGTGACATGATTCAGTGTCATTCTATAAATAGGAATTCAATTTCACCTCGATATAATATCATATAATTAGTTTTCAAATCATATTGAACACAAAAGAAGACATACAGTCAAACATAACACAGAGAAAATTGGCCGTTACACAACTACTATAGATTGTATTACATAGGGATCGAAAAAAAGGCCTTTGTATAAAGATGGTCTTTATGGCCAGTTTAAATGGATATATAATATTCATTATTGTTATGTGTCATGTTAACTGAAATGATTGAGGTTTACATGCGAAAGGAGAGGGGAAAATGTGTGCTTTTTTTTTTTTTTTATTCTATATTCATTTTGCAACAATGCTTCTCTATTGTTGGCAACAAGTAATACACCGCAGTTCAGCACAGACTTTTAGTTAATCGTAGACCATAGCAATTTCACACTGTTACTACTGCAAATGCTTTCATTTTCGTGACCATATATTTTCTACTTAAAACAATTGATACGTTGAAGCATTGTAAACAGTACTACATGAATGTGTCCTTATTTACGAACTACACATGACTAAGTGGATTACTCCTGAAATTAACACCGCAGAGGGAAACTTCAACTCGTATTACAATATATTGTAATCACTGTATTACATTCATGATCAGATAACCCTGTTGGTCTTAATACGAGGTGATATTGTATATTTAACGTTTAAACCCCATTATTTGAAAGACAATTCATTTATGATGAGGGGCTCTAGACATGTTAGACCACAATTTGCATTTTGAACCCAGTTCATTTTAGAGCACATACACATTTTTAATTAACTTATACTGTGTCTGTTTGGTATTGATGATAGCTATACAAATATGAGCGATATTGTGACTTAATTTGCTATGAACATGAAACAAATCCACCCCCTATATAAGTCTCTCGAGCGGTAAAACATTCTGACTGTTTGTTCATACACATCTTTGTGGCTATTATGGACAACCAAACTCAGCTGATACATTTTGACAATATCAATATGCAGTATATTGAAATGTTTTTTCTGTTTTGTATTTGTGTTTTAGAATCATGAGAATGACTCATGACTCTTTTCAATGAAAGGAATTAAAATGTCACCAATTGCTGGTAATTTTCGTTCATTTCTGTGGTTTGAAAATCTTGTTGTGAGTTGAGAAACATTTACATTACTTTATGATTTCGGGCTACTGCTGCATACATTTCAATAGCATAGTCTATTTTACAGGTGTCTAAAATATCAATGTGAAAATATATTCAGCTCTTCCAGTTCATATGTTCGTTACACATGTTGAAAATTTAAGTTCTGGAACATTAGATTGAACTTAAGTTACGGAATTTTTCTCGCAATGTATTATCATTGTAAAAAAATAGGCCAGTTTGTTAATATTTTTTGACATATTTTTTAACATGCAGTAATATATATCATGGGCATTTCATTCAGTGTATGGTGATATCATGCGACTTTGAACGATAATTATTTACTCTGCACATTTTCGCATATGTCTTACGGATTAATATTCAACAAGGCAATGTTTACACAACGCTTTAGAAGGCGAGGATCATGTGGTATGATTAACTATTGCAGTCCAAACAAAGTCAAGAGCGAAGTTCTTATTTATATCGATTGGCGTTATGAAATGAAACTCTTTCACATTACTCGCTTTCATTAGAGTGTATCATCATCATCATCATCATCATCATCATCATCAGCTGCTTTTCAACTATTCGTAACTGTACATGTTAAGGTTTTTACGTATACGTGATTCTTTTTTTGTAAATTCAGAAATATTCTATTCATTTTGCTGCTCCTGTCTGATGGATTCTCTGTGGTATACTTTTGTGGTGTATCTCAAAGACACGACAAACTCTTACACATCAGCTGCTTAACTCGATCTTTTCCTACAACGAAACCAACAGGGACAGCTATCCACCAAGCTGTGTGATAAACGATGATTTCAATTTCCCTATTGTGAATTTTACATTTCTGAATAGCAATATTCCTGCACCCCAAACTATGGTATTTGCATGTCAAATTTGTTTCGATATTCAAGTGCCTGTTCCCATATCATGATTTTCGTGTTAAATGTCGTCTACTGACGGACAAACTCATAATAACACAGTTTGTATACACGCTATAGTTATCTCCATGAGAAATATTGATGTGAAGCTGAAAGTGTTTGATGCTCGTTAGTTTACCTGCAGGTTCCATTAATGTTCATATTTTGGCCTAGTGTTATGGAATTTAAGTTTAGATTATGATTCTGTTGACATGTTATTAGATATATATATATATGTATATATAACGTATTGGCAGTTTTCATTAATTCAAAATGAACGACATAATTTTCTTTGTAAATCAGTGGTAAAGGTGAGGATAATCGCGTTTATAGCCTCACAGGTATGGAGATTAGGTCACCAAAAACATATTATGTGTCCACGCTTTCACTGGTGTCACCTTGTATATGAAGCAGGTTAATCTAACGTTCTACTCCGTGCCAGATGCTTCTATCACCTTCGATCCATATGGTACCCTTAAATTCGATACCAGAGTGAAGCTATATCCAATTGTGTTTCAAACGCAAAAACGAATAATTAAGTTTTATTGAGTGATTTGAAAATTTGTACAGTTTTGATGATACTGTGTACACGAAAAGGCTTGTTATCTCTGTATCGGAATGAAATGATGAATTACTTACGGAATGATCGATTTCGTACACATGTAACATTTTTGAGATTGTTGTAGCATTATAACACTAACTAGTCATGGAAGGATTAAAAAACTGAATGATTCAGTTAAAATCATTGTTTGACTCTACTGTATCTAACTCTAAAATTTACATTAAAATGTGATATTCACTTGTGTCTTTTGTACAATGTTCCCATCCAAAACAAAGAGGCTCACACGATCAGTGCTCACCAGCTTAACTCTTACACTCGGGTTGAGGTAACCTCGCAACAAACCCATGTCTGATTCTATTGTTCTCGTTTAAGTATTTCAGAATCTATTCTCATATTACTGTATATCAACCATTGTGTGCTTGTAAAGAAAAAAACATATTCTCTCACAGGCTTCACTTCAATGTAACAATGGTATGAAATGTCATGTGATTAAGTAATCATCGTGGGAGAATTACATGTCACAATGGCAGGCGACCTTGGTCCGTCACTTTTATTAGCTTTTGGTATCTGTGCAGAACGCACCCGTCATTGTTTCATGAATGACATTTAGATCGAGTACAATAGTGTAACAAACAAATTTCCTATTGTTCTACACACGTCATTGTTAATTGCTGTAATTATTTATACCACAGCGACGGCAAAATGATGTCTAATTATTTTGTATACATAAAAACTAAGAGGATCTCGGTTTGGAGAATAACACACGACATAACCACATAAGTATAAGATTATTTTCTTTGTTCAGAACAGAGTGACAGTCAAATATTGTAAGATGTTTAACCAAACATGGCTTACAGTTGTACAGTTCTTTTAAAATCTTTTTTAATAAAGCTAAGAAAGAAAGTAGGTCAAAGATTAAAGAACTGTCGGCTGCCATGGCGTTATTGGATTGTTTGGCAAATCTACTGGGGAGTCTAGTGAAATAAGTACACATTTTTGTACGAATACAGAATATTTCTATGATGTTCTCATGTAACAGTTTAGAATGAATGACAATTAAGACTAATTTTCTCGTACGATCATTATTTTGTCATTTGAAACCTCTGACGTCAATTCGAGTTTAAATAAATTGTGCGGACACTTGCGAATTGTTAATATTGGCGCGAGAAAGTCTTCAAAAGTATCTATATTCCTTTACCGTTCGGTGTCCTGTGCAGCCTACTTCTCATTTGACTATTGGAACGAAGATGCAGTTCTTTTTTGTCTTTGTGTGTCTGGTGGCTTTGGCCTCGAGTCATCCTCATGTAAGTGCAAATTATTAAATCGTTTTAATTAATGAAAAAGAAAATTTAAGATAATTATCGAATGCTGTAATTAGTGACGTAATATTTTCCTAACAATATTTATTGTTTGTTCTTTAATGTTTTTTCTTATATCAAAAGTTGTTCTTTAAAACTTTTAAAATTCTCTTCCATTAACACCAATCGTAAGCATATTTTTTTCCAAGACTGGAGAAATGTTAAATAATATCATGAATGTCATTTTGACCTGTATCACAAATAATCTACAGCGGAAATAAACAAAAATCGTTGAGGCACGATTCAGAATATGTTCATGCACACTATTCTTGTTCTTTTGAAATTATCGGATATATTAAGACAACAAAACTGATTGAATCAAGGGCAAGTGCTATCTGGATTTTGACATTTCGATCAGGTTTATTCATTATTTAAATTTGTTTCTTCTAAAATTGTATTGAAAGGCGCTATTTACTTCAGTGCCTTTTTCACAAATCAATGGACTGAAAATATGCACACCATATTGGTATTTTCGTGATGTTTTTAGTATGATAATTTCCTTGTGTTCTCGGGTATTTAATGTGTTTGACCGTCTTCATCACATGCCTTCTACGTCTGGGTCACGGGTGCGAGGTTTATGTGAGAAAGTTGCTAGGTACTGTCCGCAGGTTAGTGGATTTTCTCCGAGTATTCTGGCTTTCCTTCCAAACCTGACACGTTAAATTACCCTGTCTATTAAACCAACAATAAAACATCTCAACGGACAACACTGAAAAAGCAGTTATTTCAAATGGAATTCTACAATCTCATAAACTAATTAATTATCTTTTATTCTGAAAAACACCAAGATTTACAAATAATGAATGTCTTCTTTCACTAATAGGATTTCTATTGTGTAATCTAACATTCGTATCACCATGGTAACGAAAACAGAGAAAATAATGTTTTAGGAACTTTTCATTAAAGGCTTTGGTGAAATCCATTTTATAAGTAAACCCAGTCATTAGCATCAATTTCTAGTCCTAAAGGGACGAGCTAGCAGCAGCTGTATGACTATTACATTGAAAGGTGCTTATATCTTGTGCTTGTCTCTTACAATTTTTATCACGCTATAAACGTATGAGGCAAAATGATGAGTCGGGATATTATCTTACTGTACTTTATTTTCTTCTGGTGCATCCTTGCTAATGATATAAACAAGTATGATGTTATGTAATGGTAAACGATCCTTGTAATACTATTTTCAAACATAGAAGGCGACAGGTGTATAAAGTAATCGAACGACATGTCAAAATCTATATGAGTGGGGTGGGGATGCATTTGCCCCGTAATTCGATATTATTCATATATTTACATATTTATATATTTATGTACATATTTACATATGATTGAGGGATTTTTCAATATATCAAGATTTCCCTGTTCACAACGTTTCTAGATTATTAACTTATTTTCTCCTGTTTTGTTTATTCGAACTTGAAAAGAATAAGAAGAGGGCACATGAAAAGCGAAGAAAAACTTTGAATGCTCCAGAGCGGGATCCGCTTCAGGTATGTACAAGTGGATAATGTGTATTCCAAGGGAAATGTTTTAAGTGTCGTTAATTAGATATATACTAAACAAAAAAAGAAAGGTAACACTACTTTATTCTGTGATTAATCAATTAACCCCTTCATAAATCCTTACCAATCATGTACGAATAAAGTAATTGATCAATTCTGATAAAACTGCAGTCATGGTTCATTATAAAACTTTGCGTTCAGTTGATTTTATTCGACTGTAAAGGACGTTGGGGTCAATTTCAAAGGTAACACCATTAGTAACGGGGATGGCCACCGTTTGCGAAATAAACAATATTGCAGCGTCGTCGCATGGAACTCGTAAACCGGCGGATAATTCGAGGAGAGCTGTTGTTCCATTCAGCGATCAAGGCTTGGGCCAGCTCCTGCAAATTTGACGGCTGATTTTGACGTTCTCTCACGCGTCGCCCAAGAACGTCCCAGACATGCTCAATCGGTGACAAATCAGGTGATTTAGATGGCCAATCTAACACCTGTACGTTATTCTGCTGCAAGAAAATTCTGCTGACGCGACTGGTGTGCGCTGGTGCGTCATCCTGTTGAAAAATGGCGCCAACGCCATGGCGTCTTAAGAATGGCAGAACCACTGGTCTTAAAATTTCGTCCCGATATCGAATGTCTTTTAAATTGCCATTTAACACAACAACCTGGGTAACAAAACGCTCCCCTCGTCGCCTCCACACTCTGCGCCTTCCGTCACCGTGTCGCAGACAAAACCTGGACTCATCTGAAAACAGACGTCTTAAGGCCCAACGACGGTGAACACGGGTCCAGTTACGCCGATTATTACGGTGACGTCGCAACAAATTGGGTCATTTCAATTGGTAGGCCCTCAATCTGTTGCGGACTGTTTGGGGAGACACACGACGCCCAAACATTGTCCTTGTAGTCTCTACTACGGTTACGAATCGATTGCGCAAGTGTATCAATCGTATACGACGGTCATCCCTGGCGGTCGTTTTACGGGGTCGGCCGCAGTTGACCCAGTTTGGTTTAAACGACTTATCAACTGGCAAATTGTCTTAACACTGCAACCAAAATGCCGTGCAACTCGACGGCGAGACTCCCCAGCCTGGATCATGCCTACAGCCCTTTCTCACTGTACTTGTAACGGCCGGGGCATAATGATAAAGTTGGTAGATAGCAAGATTCGTTGATTTCTAAGTCCTAAGGATCTAAGGAACAGTTGTCAGTTTGAATGTTTATGAAATTCAAGCGAAGATACAAGTTAGTCGTAGAAAACCTCGTGCAGCTCTTTCGCTAATACAGACTTTCACGCTTGAATGATTTTGGTAACCCCCTTGGATTTTGTAATCTAAAACATTACCATTTTCTAATATTGCACAAACGTCATTTTGTTTTCACTCATTTACAGGTATTCGCCAAGGAAACATGTTAAACTTTCTTTTTTTGTTGAGTATATTCTATTAAATTCAGATAATGATCAAGCAACTGCGTGCTCCATATATTGGAATTAATGACACAGAGGTTGGCTAGCATATGTTGATCTGTGCCACTTGTTGAATGAGAGAATGCTTGTATTATTATTTTGATTTATCTTCCTAGCATTATATCTAGGAGGGCGTTTCTTCTCATCTCTACAATACGAACAGTAATTTATTGGAATTCACTGGGTTTGAGCTGGCAGTAATAATGATATGTAAATCAATGTTTTCTCGATCAATATTCTTTTAAAGATATTTTGAAGTTAAAAAGTTGAAAAAAATGGATAAGTTTATTGGTAAGTTTTAAGTAACTCGTCATGTACTAAGACTGTCGAAGAAATATTTCTCTGTATTTTCTGTCATGTACTGTCAATATTAACACGAAAATATCATCAATTCAACTCAAATTCAATAAAACGAAGGCAAAGTTTAAACAAAAGAAAGATTCCTAACTCCTGAAAAAGTCAAAACAGAATAAGACCAGGTGTTCCGAAAGAGAAAGCGCCTTCTGCTTTATCGATGAAACGCGCCATGTAGATTTTTGTCAATTCCAAGTAAGTAATGTCACACTCTAAAATGAGAACAAGGTAAACAACAACGGAATCAACAGGCAAATTAACGAGCATCAAATACGTCCAGCTTAACATCAAACGAATAAATAGAATATTTTCCAATGGGATCACCATGACGACCATAAAACCTCCCCATAATTTTCATCTACCTGCATCTTTTGAAACCCTATGTTACGAGTTTGCCCGTCAGTTGACGAATTTTAAGCACTAAAATTCATTGCTTTGACTCAATCACCTAGGACGTTAGCACAGCGTCCATCGTCGGTCAACATTTGGTTTAAATCAATTGTAATGATTTAATGAATGTTGATAATGGGACATTAATTGCTGAAAGAGACTGAATGTTCAACAAACGGTGGTTTCCGGTTTCGGATGCCTGAGGGACGAAGTCAAAATTGGGAAATTAAAATCTTTGTTCTTATATAGGAATGATCGGGTATTGTTCTAACTTGGTCTGACCAGCCAGTTGGTGAAGGAGAAAAAGTGGGTATCGGCATTAAGCGGCATGAAGGGCGAGACCTAAAAGGGGAAATTCAGCAGAATATTTCAAATCCTCTTTGTTTAAAAAAATGATTGCATGATGGTGAAAGAGGCTTGTTTATGTTTAAACGGTTAAATGAAGTGACAGGGACGGGCTCTGTAGACAAAAAATCAAATAAACCATCTGATTCGTCCTAAGGTATAGGTTTTATCTAAATAGTAGGTCCTCCATTAGGGCAGATGGATTCAGTCCAATAGGTGAAGTTAGACTTTAAACTTCTTTTGTTGAGAAAGTTGATATTAACAAAATTTGGAAAAGGGGAACGATTTTGATCACGATTATGCGGGTTGTATGCTTTCCTCGAAAATATCACTATTTACATTTGATGATAGATAGATTTAGGTTTACGTACAAACCATTATTTAACACGGTAGTTCAACCTTTGAGGATCAAGTGTAAAACCCAAAGGAATCAATGTCGTTATTCTGATCAATGACATATTTTATACGTCAAATAGCTTGAGAACCTATCGAAATGCGTTAAAATATACTTACATTTTAGGTTAAAAGGAGTGATTATACCACACCAGACTATGGAGTAAGCACATTTAAAAAATAGGTAGAAAACCTTACTAGGTTAAGTGTAAAATCACAAAAGTTCAAATCTTGTTAGTTAGATCAATATCACATTTTGTCGAAAATGGAATAATCTGAGTAAATCAATTGGACAGATTATATTCGCCAGCACAAAGCGTCAAATATAAAAAACAATTAAAAAAGAAAAAAATCTGGAGAACAAAACCAAGTACTTGAAAACATTAATATCTGCATTTTAGGGTAAAAAAGTGGTGATACCGCATCAGACTATGATGTAAAATTATTTGTTTTCATATCGGTAGGCAACCTTACATGATTTAGCGACAAACCTAAAAAACAATGTCGTTATTCATATCAATGACACGTTTCGAATTTTTGTTTTTAAAAAAAGTGCGGAAATCGGACATAATGGTGAATGTTTGTTTGTTTTTTTCCAAATAACCCTCTTTCCTATCCATTATGAACATAATGTATATACATGTTCCTCTTCGAGCTGACAGATATATAATGGGATTTAAATTCTGAATTCAATCTTTGTATTTACGGTATTTATTTTTTTTCTATATATAAACACAATCAATATCAGACTTCAACTGTCAATCGTTTTTTTCCAAATGCTGTTTTTAAAAATCTTTTTCGTTTGCCGACAGGTATATAATATGATTTAACCTTTGTATCTACAATGTTTTTTTAATCTATTTCTAAATTCTAACGACTATTTCTAACTGTATGTTTCCCTTGAAAATATCATTATTTATATTTTAGTTGAAACGGAGTGACGACACCACATCAGACTATGGTGTAAGTAAAGTGCTTTATATCGGTAGCCATTCTTACAGGTTTTAGTGGCAACTATCGGCTATCGATGAAAGATAAACACAACCACAAACACACTTTTCAAAACCCTGTCTTGTGAATCTGTTTCCCCCAGTTTCTCGATCATCGAATGTTTCTATGAATAGTGGTATGTTAAGAGGTCGGTACTATATTGTTTTTAATTTGAAAATAATTTGTAAAAATAGACACTTTTTAGCCAAGGACTTCAGAAATCGATACATAATTTTGATTGTTTAACTGTATTTGAGGAAATCGAACGACTATTTCTAACTGTATGTTTCCCTTGAAAACATCAATATTTATATTTTAGTTCAAACGGAGTGACGACACCACATCAGACTATGGTGTAAGTACAGTGCTTAATATCAGTAGCCAATCTTACAAGTTTAAGTTTCAAGGTTTTTTTTTTCTATCGATGAAATATAAACGAAATCGCTATCAGAGTTCAACTGTCAAGTGTCTTTTTCCCTTTGCTGACAGGTATATATAATATGATTCAATCTTTGTATTTACAATGCTTTTCGATTTCTAAATTCTAACGACTATTTCTAATGTCACGTTTCCCAGAAAACATCAATATTTATATTTTAGTTCAAACGGAGTGACGACACCACATCAGACTATGGAGTAAGTACAGTGCTTTATATCAGTAGCCATTCTTACAAGTTTAAGTTTCAAGGTTTTTTTTCTATCGATGAAATATAAACGAAATCACTATCAGAGTTCAACTGTCAAGTGTCTTTTTCCCCTTTGCTGACAGGTATATATAATATGATTCAATCTTTGTATTTACAATGCTTTTCGATTTCTAAATTCTAACGACTATTTCTAATGTCACGTTTCCCAGAAAAAAATCAATATTTATATTTTAGTTCAAACGGAGTGACGACACCACATCAGACTATGGTGTAAGTAGTGCTTCATATCAGTAGTCATTCTTACAGGTTTTAGTGGCAACTATCGGCTATCGATGAAAGATGAACACAACCACTATTAAACTTTTCAAAATCTTGTTCTGTAAATCTGTTACCTTTGCTTTCCCCAAAATTTTCTGTATCATCCAATGTTAGTTTGAATAGTGATATTGTTTAGATTTCGGTATCATATTGTTGTAAATGTTTAAAAAAAACGGACCATGTTCTCTATTTATTGTAGGTATGTATTACATTGTATATATCCACACACCTCTTCGAGTTGACGGGCATATTGTGGGATTATATCTTTGTATTTTCACAATTAGGTCTTTTCTGTTCTTTCGACCTATTCATAAGAACCACAATAGATGTTCAAAAGAAGACATCAATTTAGTTAAACTATTTTAGTTCTCGACTGTCGATGAAAGGTTGACACAATAATCAAACTTCTATAATTGTCAATTGTCTTTTTCAAAGTCCTGTCTTGTTAATATGTTTCCTTTTCTTTCCCCCCAAATATTTGTATGAATAGCGATTTTGTGACGATTTCGGTATTGTCTAATTGTTAAAATGGAAAATAATTTGTAAAACTAGACACTTTTTAGCCAAGGACCTCAGTAATCGGTATATAATTTTGATTAATTGTTTAGCTGTTTTTTGAGGAAATATGAAGACTATTTCTAACCGTATACTTCCCTTGAAAATATCAATATTTACATTTTAGTTTAAACGGAGTGACGACACCACATCAGACTATGGTGTAAGTACAGTGCTTTATATCAGTAGCCATTCTTACAAGTTTAAGTTTCAAGGTTTTTTTTCTATCGATGAAATATAAACGAAATCGCTATCAGAGTTCAACTGTCAAGTGTCTTTTTCCCTTTGCTGACAGGTATATATAATATGATTCAATCTTTGTATTTACAATGCTTTTCGATTTCTAAATTCTAACGACTATTTCTAACTGTATGTTTCCCTAGAAAAAAAATCAATATTTATATTTTAGTTCAAACGGAGTGACGACACCACATCAGACTATGGTGTAAGTAGTGCTTTATATCGGTAGCCATTCTTACAGGTTTTAGTGGCAACTATCGGCTATCGATAAAAGATAAACACAACCACTATCAGACTTCAACTGTCAATCGTTTTTTTCAAAATGCTGTTTTTTTTTAGAATCTTTTTCCTTTGTCGACAGGTATATGATATGATTCAATCTTTGTATTTACAATGTTTTTAATCTATTTCTAAATTCTAACGACTATTTCTAACTGTATGTTCCCTTGAAAAAATCAATATTTATATTTTAGTTCAAACGGAGTGACGACACCACATCAGACTATGGTGTAAGTACAGTGCTTAATATCAGTAGCCATTCTTACAAGTTTCAGTGTCACTGACACATCTCATTTTTTGTTTGTTAAAAAAATGATAGTTTAACCATATCTTATTTTTTCTGTGTGTAAAATTACAAAATTGGTAGTAATTATGACATGTTGAAAAAGTTAAAAAAAGGAACATACGTGGAGACATTAAAGAATCCCTCTCTTTCTTATTCATTGTGAATATGTAACATGAATATACACACTCCTGTTCGAGCTTTCAGTTATTTAGCGGGGTTTTAGTTCTAAATTCAGTCTTTTTATTTACACTATTCAGTCTTTTTCCTATCTATTCATTTACAATAAATCACTAATATCTTATTTATGTTGAAACTGGACATTTTCATTTTGCTTTTCTCAACTATCGATGAAAGATTAACACAAGTATAATAAAGCGTCTATGATTATCAATTTTTTTCTTCAAAATCCTGTCTTGTAAATATATTTCGTTGCTGATATCAGTGTTATAACGACATTCCATTGACCGCTGTGGATGTGACACAGTTAATAACTTCTTAAACATGGCCCTTGACCAATCACATAACTGCTTTATTGATTTCAGCTTGAAAGACGCGAAAATGCTGAACTCGAAACGAAAGGGAAAGAAATGAACAGGAAGGAAGATGTAAGTTGGGACCACTTTATTTAACGATATCTAAATTTACCGTGTTTTAAACAAGCTATTATGTGACTGACAAAGACACATTGCTTTCTGACGCAAGTTAATCCATATGAAGTCAAGAAAGCGTTTGAGGGGGGAAATCTACTAAAAAGGAGATAAGCCCAAATCTGTTTTTTGTTTTTGTTTTTTTATAAGTTCTTTATGAGGAAGTATGCAGAATAAACATTGTAGAAGGCATTGAAAGATGGGCCATTTCTAGATGAATTTCATTTTATTCGGATGCAACACAGCATATAAGACTGACATACTATAAATGCAAATTTAACGTGGTTATAGAAAAGGAAAATAACAATTGCAATTCTAAGATATATTATATACGCTGAATAGATGTAAAGCAAATACAGAATTTTGTGTTCACGGCACAGCTCACAGATATACTTAAATTCATCAAGTACCATATTACAATTAAATCCAATTTCACACGGAAAGTTGATAAAAGATTAAAAATAGTAAAAATACAGTTAAAGATAATTGTCTTGATAAAAACAGATGCAAATTTCGTGCACGTTATCTGGGAACATGGGATAGGAAAACATGTGATAGGGAAAGACGAACGGTAATGTAAAAAGTGACTTGGCAACATTCAAATAGCATGATATAATGAAAATATCATATCCAATGTGCCAAACCCCGTGCATTAATTAATAGCAAATCATAGAATACAGAAAACAGAATATCCTTTGAATGTAAAACTGGTAATGTCAGTACCACTGTTTACGTTCAAACACCGCAATTTCATGGGTTCAGATAGGGTAACGGCTATATGATGAGATATAGAAAAAAAAATTGTAAAACAATACTATTCACTTTGAAACATTAACAACCCTAAGAACTCTGGTCTATATTAGCTGCTCTTCGAAAATACCCCTGGTGCATTTTGATGTTTTACCTACGAACCGCAAGCTGAAAAAGAAAATCAAGTTCAATGACTGAGTGCTAATCTGAAATTTCTCCTTTTTATTTTGATTTAATGAACGGAACTGACCACCGTTTGCTAATGTAGGTATTGATCTCAGGGAAATGTATTCACGTTATGCAAAGCAATATATCATGAATTATAATTCATAATCAAGAATTTCAGCGGCAAGGTGAGATTGCTCCATTTTACAATCATGGTAGAAAAAGTTAATGACTATTCTTTGTGATTAAAAAAAAAAGCATTTATGACCAAGTGTAAACAAAGCGTAGCCGAATTGACTACAGTATATTGTTACCATCTGGTGTATTTTTCAGTCTATAAACCTTTTACCATCTCGTCACACTATTTTCGAACTTAGTGTACATAGGATTATAGTACAGCCATAAAGGTGGTTAGTTCCGTGCCATCTCGTATACTACGTACGTCAGTGCTAGAAATCTCCACACTGGTCGTTTGTCTGATGAAGTTGACTGTGAAGTTATCAAAACGTCACACTCTAATCTTCTACTGGTTGTGTTATAAGATGAAGGTGACCGTTTAGTCATAGAAATGTCACACTCTAATCTTCTACTGGTTGTGTTATAAGAACTTCTATCTTCTATCAATTTAAGTTAAACAGAGGCTGAACGAAAACATAACTCACTGGGTATATATTTTACATAAGTACATTCTTACAATGTGTTCTGCAGTATGTAATAACATTTTCTAACATTATTTCACAGGCTGACAGACAAGAGATTGTAGAACTTCTGAGGAAGTTCCTGGAGAACCACAAGTAAAAGGATACCGAGACCGACCAAGCAATGTATACAGACCACGTGACAACTACTTAAACTTTCATAGCCTTTCTTTCTCTACCTTTTTCTATTCAACGCCATACTTGTAAATGCACGCGCACATTACATGTTCATGGAATATGATATCGATTTCGATGGATTCATGCTATTTATAATGTGAATAACTGCGCGTGATTTCCATATTAATAAATTCCTATGCAGCATTATCAGTGTTTTGCTTTGTTACATGAATTTAACTATTTACTCCAATATATTGTATAATATAATTTAATATACCTATATCATTGTGACTACACTTGGGAAGATTTTGCAGCTCAAACATACATTAATGAGAACACAAATGATTTAAGACGTAAAGAAATGCTTAAATGATGACCCAAATTTTATTAGCTTTGACACATCAGAATAAATGAGACTGAAATCACGTCCTGAATCAATGTTGGCATCAAATAAAATCAACAAAGAATATCGACATGACATCTTAATTGTAAATCAACAGCAAATCGATTAAACTATGACATAAGAAAGATCTATAAGAGATCTCAGGAAAAGTACAGGAACAAGACCAGATGTGCCGTAAGGGTAAGCGTCTTCTGCTTCATCGACAATATCCATCATGCATATCTTAGTGATAAATGTGTCTTAAATCGTTATATGGTGCTGTTTGACAAACAGCTGAAACGTTTCAAAATGAAAAGACACTTGATATGTAGAAGCATGATCCTGGCCTATTTCGAACTTAATGGATAGGTGTAACCTGCAACAAATCGTCAAGATGAAAGAAAAACAACATAAAAGTTGTTGGAAAAGAAAACATAATATAGAGGTAAGGAGAGAAATATTGTGAACCTGAGGCCAAATCAAAATTGCCAAAAGAATAGTTAGTTTAGATAAGAATTAAAAAATGGTAAAATATCTCGATCTTTGTCCTGTATTATAAATTTGATATACAATTAGAAATAACGCACATTATCAAATTATATAAAGTACTTTATCTTTCTTGTGGTATTAAAGTCGGGAAATGTCCCCCCAACGATTGTATAAAAGCGACATATTGTAAGCCGTATAATCCCCCTCGTTCTCCTCGTGTTGCTCCAAATACGATAGAAGTGCACAAATTGATATGTCACATTATACAAAATTATTTCAGGGTGATGTTCGTATCTAATGACAATATTTTGAATTTACAAGGTAAGCAAATTATGCAACACAGGCAACTTTTACCAGCATCTGAAGCAAAAAGTCAAATTTGGGTGGTCGGGTGGTGCAGTGGTAACGCACTCGCCTTTCACCTAGCCATCCGGGGTTCGATTCCCGGAATAGATGTGAAAAGGTATGGGGTCACCTGCCCGACCTCGTGGGTTTTCCCGGGTACTTCGGTTTCCTCCCACACTAAGACACCTCGCGTGCTTCCATCCGAACCAACAAGAGTGATTTATATAAGTTGGAAAAACTTGCTTCACAATTGTTGTAAAAAAAAATGTAAAATTCATCAACTTGTTTTATCATAAGGAAGGGACTAAAATGTGAAATAGTTCTATTTATCTTCACACTTACTTTCCAGACATTCTCATCAATAGTTTTGTCGGAAGGTTTCATTTTAATAAATTCCAGGCTTTCATTGCTTTAGGTACAGTCAAGCATTCGAAATTTTGATAATCTTTATTTCTTTATTATTTCTTAATCATCTGTAGTAAAATACACATAACAACACGAACCGACAATACGCAAGACTTTATATCAAACAGACCCCCTCTCCCAATCCTCGTCCATGAACAGGTTGGGCGAATTTAAAATAGGGACAGAATATTGTCACACTTACATAACTCATTTATATAATCCTCGATGGGCGAAATGAATTTGAGGCGAATTCGTGAATAATGGTTCCGGGCAAAAATAACATGGGCGACAATATCCAGATATAGAGTATGTGTAATTTTATTTTAAAAGACAACTGTTGTTATAATGGTCATTGTACAGCCATAATTGTGATTCTCTGGTTTGTGTAGTGTTTACAGGAAGGACTTTATAGCACAAATCTTTTATCATTACGAGTACCTCCAGTGACGTATGCATAGGGAAAAAATTATACATTTGTATATAACTTTAGTGAATAAATTAATTTCATTATATTTCTCCGATGTGTTATCGATGCTTTTCCGAACAAGGAGTTGCTAAGCGTGACACGATCCCCGCGCCCAGCTATTGGTATGGTCATCCAAAATGACATGTATAAATGTCTACCATTTAGTAACTTTTTTGATGTAAATTATCTGCGTTTTTCATTGTCAATGATTAATTTGTGTATAAAACAGCTGAACGGTTAAAAAATTATTGTTTTTGTATTTCTGACACTGTTTCCATGGTAATAGATTACATATCAAATGACGGAATCTCACCATTAGTAAAAGGCATAAGTTTGGCACTAGACGGATACGTTGTTTCGTGAAGTTCCGATGATTGATTTTCCCAAGTGTAGTTCGAAAAAGCTTATAAACAATCAATTTTGCATGAAAATACAAATCCTTGCAATAGCAATATACACAACTAGGGAACAACTACATAAGAAATAGTTGATATGCTATCAAATTCTAGGTCTACAAAACATGCAGACAGTATATGAGATCTCTCCAAAACGCTTGCAAGTGTTCGCTGTAAACGTCCCTCAGAATAACGGGGCCTATCTAATAACATTCGAGAGGTGGTAGTGTGTGTGCGTGTGTGTGTGTGTGTGTGTGTGTGTGTGTGTGTGTGTGTGTGTGTGTGTGTGTGTGTGTGTGTGTGTGTGTGTGTGTGTGTGTGTGTGTGTGTGTGTGTGTGTGTGAGTGTGTGTGTGGTGTGTGTGTGTGTGTGGTGTGTGAGGGTGTGTGTGTGAGTGTGTGAGGGTGTGTGTGTGAGTGTGAGGGTGTGTGTGTGTGTGTGAGGGTGTGTGTGTGTGTGTGTGTGTGTGTGTGTGTGTGTGTGTGTGTGAGTGTGTGTGTGTGTGTGTGTGTGTGTGTGTGTGTGTGTGTGTGTGTGTGTGTGTGTGTGTGAGGGTGAGGGTGTGTGTGTGTGTGTGTGTGTGTGTGTGAGGGTGTGTGTGTGTTGGGGAGGGGGAAGGCGATATGAGGATACTGATAAATACTTGTAACGTTAACATACGAAGAATATTGTACAATTTACGATATTTGAAGCTTGGTTTACCCTCACAAGGTCAAGAAATATTTGAAAATTAAATCTGAGGGCAAGAAAATATCAATATATGTAATGTTTAAATTCTGCCGTATGTAGTATGTGGGGCGACAGTTCTGTCGCTTTGCGTGTTGTCCTACGTAATGTCAGGTGAAAATTCGAGGTTTGTGGTCAATGCTCCCTACACGTGGCTGTTGTATTGTCTACATCGTGATGATTGTGTCCATATCATCATCATTGTGTATACATAGTCAACATTGTGTCTTTGGGCTAGCATTGTTCTGGATCGCATGCAACGGATCCTATGTATATTGATCAGTGAAGTAGCTAAAATGACCCTGAGGTCATGAGGTCATAACCCAAGTAAACAAACAAAAACAAGAAATCAACACGTGAGAGAAAATCTGGTATTGACACTAAATGTGTCAACTGTTATGATATTGTGTCTGCTTACAGCAATATCACGTGCAAAATCAATAGATAAGTTTGGTGTATGACCGAGGCATCCCTGCCAACAAATACAAGAAAATGTGTTCAATCAAGCGTGTTCATTGCTGTAATTAACCTCGGTAATTAGCATGATCATGCCAATAGACTTAGCATCAATTTCACTCTTACTTGTACAAAAGAAGTCCTTAATCGGCATGCCGTTCGGTTTTTAAGTTGTCACTGTATTGGGAATAATGTTTATTGCCTTACGAATATAGGTTTTAAGTAAAATACAATTAATATATAGAGAGAACTCCTTTAAAACAGAACAACAGGACACAAAGGAACATATATCTCATTGTATTCTGCCTCTTTGAAAAACACAATTCTAGCGAAAAAGGATATATTTTCTTCAGTCTATGTGACAAAAGTAAAAAGTAAAAGTACTTCTAAAAAGAATTTTTGATTTTACTGAAACAAAGACTATGTCCTTATTTTGTCATCATTATATTCTCAATCTCTTCAATCTCTGACGGTCTAGATTTTATCATTACTATAGGCAAGTTTTTTGTTATGGGCTATGATTACGTTTAAATAATATATTTTTAAAAAACAAAACTCATTCGTATTCGTAATTGTTGAAGGCTTTAAAAACAAAATGTTAAGGATAACAAAAAACAACCAAAACAAAACAAAAAACAAAACAAAAAGCAGTTGAAGAGATTGTCAATTAATACATTTTCAACTTGGTATTGAAATTGTAAAGAATTTAGTCCTGAGGTCTATTAACAAGGTGAATTTGAACATCGATGAGACTCTGCCAGATCTTAACAGAGGATTTGATAGTCTGGCGATGCAACTCCTTATCCCTGCCATTACTTTGTGTCTGGCCTTTTTGTCCTCAGGCTATCCACTGGTAAGTTTTATTTGATATATGTAATGTCTCCTTATTTGGAAATTAACAGCAACATAAGAAGCTAGAATGTTTTTATGTCATTACATACAATTGACGTATAGTAACATTTCGTTTTGATAACGGGTGCGCGATAAGAATCCAGTTTTTTAAAATAGAAAAACTTACATTTTTACTTACCAGTCACAACGAAATCAGACCATAACGGTACTGTATCATATTTGCTTCATTCATGTCGAGTTCTTGAATCCGTGATAAACTAGACTCGGTGTACCATAATTATTTGGAATATATATATATCTTTGAATACTGCATATCTATCCATGTTTACAAATATATAGAGGACAGATTCTGTGACAATTGTAATATCACCACCGACTCAGTATAAGTAGTAAACAAGACTTAATTCTGTTACTTGCCTATTTCACTCGAGATACTGATGTAATTGTGTGTTAATCAAGACACCAAATGTAATACTGTACAGAGATTTGATTTCGCTCAGTCTAACTGAAGTGTGAAACAAGAGGTCACAATTCGTTACATTTATATGTTACATGACAAGGGTACAAAGGTGTAGCTAATTGTAAGCTTACAGACGGGATACGCTGATAGGCTGTTCTCGCCTAATCAAGGGGAGATAATCCAAGCCGATACAACCAGATAATTATATCGCCTTCAAGATCCCCTCAAGAG